TGGTAGCAGATAGTTTAAAATGTGTTATATTACGTATACCACTAATTTTAGGTAGCTTTAGGCAAACGTTTTTTTGTGTGTTTCTTTTAAGAAACATGCATAAACATAAATTATTTTCATAAAGGAGAAAGGTTGATCTAGATTTTTATATGACTTTTATGTATGGTTACCCAACATTTTTTTGGATTATTTTGCTGACAATATTGCATGAAAATTTTGTCCCTGTTCTCACATTAATTTGTTGTCGAAGGAATGTTGATCCGGCTTTTTTTGTTAGTTTTCCTATATTTTACATGCATTTTCTTAGCACCTGCCAAAAATCAACGAAAAATAATTGGTAGCAGATAGTATACTTAGTGTTGGACTTTTGGTACATAGTTTTGGTTTTTCTGTTGTTTTTTTTGTTAAGCTTACTACGGGAGTGGATAGGGGGGCCGACTATACAAAAAAAAAAAAAATCCTAATATCGTATTATTTTGATTTTTATTATTAGATTAAAATAATAAATGAATTCTGACAGAAGTTTTATTGAATCTATAACAGATAGTAAGTTTAATTTTTTTTATAATGATATCAATAATAACAATTATATTATAATTGTATACTTATAATATTAAAGGTATACTTAAATGGTGTTTAAAGTTATTATTTTATTACTATTTGTATATATCCAAGAAAATTTATCTTCTGAATATATATACAATTGAATGATTATCTGCACATTTCGTAATGCTTTTATACTTATTTAACTTAAATAAAAAATTATTAAAAACAAATCTCGTAATGCTTTTATACTCATTTAACTTAAATAAAAAATTATTAAAAACGAACTTAAATTTTAAGTTCGTGTTTAATAATTTTTTCACCATTAAAATACTTTCTTGAAGGGCTTTCTAATGATATATAACATTCTAGTATATGCTCAATTAAAAAAAAATCAGTCCACGTACCTAATTTTATATGATATAAAATGAAATCTTTTCTTTTTTAGAATGTTTTAATGACAATGATGAGGATTTTTTAAAGGTAAACTAATTTTTTTAGTTGTAGATATGTTTTGATGATGTTTGATATATATATATATATATATATATATATATATATATATATATATATATATATATATATATATATATATATATATATATATATATATATATATATATATATATATATATATATATATATATGTATGTATATATATATGTGTGTGTGTGTGTGTGTGTCTATTATAAAATATTTATATCTTTTCTGTGTTCATATTTGTTTATATTTAAATAATAAAACACTCAAAGGTGTAAGAGTTACAAAGTTAGTTATGAGTATTATAGTTAATCATTAAGTTCATTATTTATATTTAGAACAAAGAGAAAAGAAAAATATTATTTTTCAAAATTATAAGACTTTTTATACTTTTTAAATATTATAGTCTATCAAGGTAGATATTCTGCAAAAAAAAAAAAAAAAAAAGGATCCAAGATAGGTATTGTACTTTGATTTTTAACAATTTTTAACTTAAGCATAAACAAAAAAAATATTTTTTTTTAAAAATGGTCAAAGGTTTTTCATTGATTATATATTTATTTTATTAGTGATGACAATGGACCAGATAGATAAAAATTATTTCATTTATAAATTTTTAATTTTTTGTTATATTATAGTTATGTTTTATAATTTTTTTTAGCTTGCTAAAGGTTAGACCTAAATAAGTATCTTTATTAATAAATTTTAAATTTGATTTTTGAAATGGTTTTATATTAAATAAAAATAATAATTTGATAAGTTTTCATTATAGAAAAGAAAATTTATGTTTTATTGTTAAATTGTTGAGTTATTTTGTTAGTAAATTTAGTAATTAATTATTGTAATTTGATTTTAAAGAAGTTGTAAAGGTTTTTATTTATTTAACAAAAATGGCGCCAACAATGGCATTAACAGGAAATTTGGTTATCACCATTACAATGAAAAACAAACTGGGATTTGTTATATTCCACTTCAAAACCTCTATTTGTATCATACTTTAATTTAAGTTTTTATTTCTTGTAGGTATTTATTGCTCAAAAGACCTTTTAACTTTATCCAGAGTTGTTTGTTGCTTGGCCTTAGTTAAATCACTCATATTGAGTTACAACTTTAAGGTAACCATTGCACATAATGAGTGTTTTTTATAATTTATTACTTTGGTAAATATTAAAATCTTTTCTTGCTCAAAAACTTTATTTTTTTTGTTTTTGTTTTAGATTTAGAGTTGACTCAAAATGGAAAAGAAATGAAGACTGTATTTTTGTGTTTTTGGATTGATTTGGATTTACTTATATTTATATTTGTTATTTAACCAATATATATTACTTAAAGATAAGTTTTTTAATATATCTAAATTGTAAATGTATATAGGAATATGTAATATCATTATATTATTATGTGCTTGTATATACTTTATTAAAATTGTTAATAATTTTTTAGAAAGTGTTTATTACTTTACTAATTTTTTATTTATTTTTGTATTTGCTGTTGAAGTGAAATGTAAATCACGGAAATTTTAATATTTTTTATGTAAATCAAAGAAAGTTTGTTTTCAAAAAATATTTTCAAAAACATGCCATTGATTTTATATAAGATTTGCTAGTAATAATTTATTTAAATTTTACTTTTATTTACGGAAACTATCCGGCAGCTGAGTTGCCTTTCCGTAGTTTAACGGAAAAAACTTATTTAATTTAAACGGAAAAAATTCGTTTGTTTACGGAAACTTCCGTTTACATACGAAAATTATCTACCTGATATAGCCGTCAAACAGGTTGATCCATTGCTCGACATTCGTATCACTCCAGCTTCTGTATCTAAAGTGATTTCCCGCTTAGACTCTTCTACAGCTTGCGGCCCGGACAACATACCTGTTATAGACTTGCAGAAGTGTTCTCCGGAGCTGTCGTCTATCCTTTCAAAACTATTTAACAAGTGGTTATCAGAGTCTTGTTTTCCAGCCTGCTGGAAAGCAGCATCTGTTATCCCTATTTTTAAAAATTCTGGAGAGCGATCTGATTCATCTAACTACCGTCCCATTAGTCGTCTTCCTATCATAAGCAAGGTTTTTGAATCTTTAATTAACAAACACTTAATCTCTTATCTCGAATCTCATAACCTACATTCTGATCATCAATATGGATTTCGACCTTCTCGTTCTACAGCTGATTTGCTATCAGTAATAATTGATAGGTTTTGTCGCGCATTAGATAAAGGTGGAGAGGTTAAGGCCATCGCTCTTGACATTTCTAAAGCGTTTGATAAAGTTTGGCATGCTGGTCTTCTCCATAAGCTTTCTTTTTATGGTGTATCTGGAAACATCTTTAAGATTATTGAATCCTTTCTTTCCAATCGTAGTATAAGAGTTGTCCTTGATGGACAGCACTCTTCTTCTTATTCTGTAACCTCAGGGGTTCCCCAAGGTTCAATCCTTAAATCTCAAATCCGGCCTTGTATGGAATACTGTTGCCATATCTGGGGCAGATCTTCTAATGATGCCCTTTCTCTTTTAGACAAGGTGCAAAAATCCATTGTAAACATAGTTGGACCTGCTCTTGCAGCCAACCTTTAACCTCTCTCACATTGTCGTAATGTTGCTTCTCTTTCTCTTTTCTACAAATACTATAATGGGCACTGCTCGAAGGAGCTAGCGTCTCTTGTGCCATCAACTAAAATTCATTCTCTTGTTACTCGTCATTCAATCAAGTCTCATCCTTTTTCTGTTACTGTTCTTAAGTGTTCCAAAAACTCTTATTCGTCTAGTTTTTTTCCTTGAACATCAGTTCTTTGGAATTCACTTCCTTCATCTTGCTTTCCTGATTCATATAATTTGCAATCTTTTAAGTCGTCTTTCAATCGTTATCTTGCTCTCCAATCTTCATCTTTTCTCTTCCAGTAACTTCCAACACTAATTAGTGGTTGCTTGCAGCCTTGTTGGAAGCGAAGATAATTTAAAAAAAAAAAAAAAAATATTATTTATATCTAATATAAGTAACGAGTTTTTGTTTTTAAAATGTTATTTTAATTTATGTGTTTTTAAATTCTTTTTAAATCAAAATGATTCAGTTTATTTTATATTTCTCTATATCTATATGTATGTTTTCTTTTAAGAAAAATAATTAGGAATAGGAAAATTAAAAAATATTCTTTATATATTTATATGTTAAATAACATTAATAAAATATATTGTGTTTTATAGTTAGTATATATGTTTATAATGTTGTTTCCATGATTTCAAAGTGGTGTGACTTGGCAAACTTGGAGAGCAATATTTGTCAACCTTACCATTCAAGCAATGCTACTGCTTTAGGTCTAAGTTTTGTCTAGCCTTTAATATAACTATACTAAAAAATACATAACATTATCTTTGATAATTTTTTGCTTATTGTTGTCACCTTTGGGTTATCCTTATGTTGGTGTCTGTTGTTTAAAAATGATTAATAGGTAGTTTCATTACTAGGACTCCAGGAGTGTACACTCGGACTTTTGGTCAGTCGCCAGAAGGACGACTGAAACCAACCAGTTTGTTAATTTTGGTCGCCCGCCGACGTTTTGAGTCGCCCGTTGCCTTTTTTTTTTTTAAATTTCCACTTAGCGAAGTTCTCGCATGTTTTAACTGACACAACTGGAGTTTTGTTGTCCATGTAAAGCTTTTTTGAATAATGCTTGTTTTTTTTTTTTGTGATGGTTTTAAAAGCCAGTGTTTAATGGCTTTTGTTGGATCGTATAACTCCATTTCTGGAATTATACGATCGTTAATAACTTGTTACTGACTCGTGTTCTTTAAATTGATTTAATGTTTTTCATTGCACTAAAGCCTTTTTCCGCGTCTGCCGAACTTAAGCTATGGCAAAATAAAAAATCAATCAGAGAAAAAAGATTAGCGAATCTATCTGGTTTATATAGATAGATTCGCTAATCTATCTGGTTTATATAGATTTATATAGATAGCGGTGGAAATGATTTTGAACTTGCACTTGTCCAAGTTGCTATTATTTTCTTCAATATTATCCACTCTAATAAAATATTTCCAACATCAACTCGTTTATATTCGAGTTGTTGCAAAGCATATCGTCGTCAATGAAGGCTTTTATGTTATTGTCTAGCATGTTTTATGTAACTTTTTGTTGTTTTCAGCCGTGAAAAAGTCGCTCTTCTTCCATTCAACTGTGTTAAGCAACTCGTCCGCCTCCGCAAAGACATCTGATACATTTGAATATTGTTTCAAAATGCACTTTTGCATGGATGTAGTAATAAAAACTCGATTTTCATACTTTTATCACTTCATGCAAATTTACAATCCCATATATCGAGCGCTTGTTCCAGTAAACACCAGCGTCTGGATTTTCTTCGAATCTTTCTAAATTGCTCGAGCGAAGACTTAACTTTATACGTTGAAACATTTTTTTTTTGTGCTAACCTAATAAAAACATAAACAATATTATTATTGGTATATTCTTAAATTTATAAGTAAACAATTTATTATTTGTTACATTGACGTTTTAATTTGAAAAGCAATAGTGTATTTTTATTAAATACTATATAGTTAAGTTATATATAAGTTGTAATTAAATATTTGAATTTAGTAGTTAATTCAATATATAATTTACAGCGACAAATTATGTATTTTTTCAATATACAAATAATAATAATTTTTATATTTTATTTTGAAAAATTAAATTTTAATCAATAAACGTTTAGGAAATAATAAATTAGAAAAAATTTCTTATTCTGAAAAAACTCTAAGTATAAGAGCAACAAAATATAATTAAAAAATTCGAATGAATTTGTTCTTTCAAGAAAATTTTAATAGACTTTTAATTAAATAGTTCAAAAAAAAGCGCGACATAATCTGTTTATAACGAAGTTTTTATCTTTTGTAAACATTTTACTTTGATTATTGAATGGTAGTTATCGCAAAGTTTATACTTCTAAAACGTTTAATAACAATAACATTAGTATATATTACAATAAACTTACATATTACCTAATTATATATACTTTTTTAGTTGTTTATTTCTAAAGCTTATAACTTTTGTTTGTGTTGAATTAATACTCTGAAAAAACCTTACTAATGCCTCTGAAAAAATTGTAATTGCTCTACACACATCAAGAATATAGATCGCCGTCGACATTAAGTGCTGATCAACCAATTTCTTTGCAAAGAACTTAGCCTTTGATTTCTGTGTTGCGCTGTAGTCGCTTTCCAAGCAGATAGTGGTATAACTATGAATATGCGCTTTTAGACCATTGAGAAGATTCTCCAACGCATTTACCATATGCGCAACCCATCTGGTACTTAACTCGTAACCCATCTGGTACATTAACTCGTATGACTCTGCATTTGGCCTAAAAATTAAAATACTAAATTAAATAAATATAAAATTGCCTAAATTAATTAATATAAATTTTGATTGTTAATACTACCTAAAAATAATAAGTAAAAATATGTTAAGATATTATCAATATAACAAGACTTATTTCTTAAAATACCTTTTACACCATAAGCTTTGCGTGCGTTACAATAAACCGCTGATATAACAGTAGAATTTCGATGAAAAATGAAGAGTTGCTCACAAAATAGCTGCAGAATTTGGAGTTCCTTTGAAGTGCTGGCTGCATCTTTCAGTGCCAGCTGCAATCGGTGTGACAAACAATGTAAGTGAGAAAATTGTTGCACCTACTAGCTGTTGCTGAGCACTATGTCTCCACCCAGTTAAAACATTAGCGCCATCCGTAATTAAACCTACCATTATCAGTAGTAACTAGTTTTTAAAGTACTAATTAAATTGCCTTTCCAGACGCGATCTAGAGTCATTAGTCATTTCTTTAAATTTTTTTTTAATTTTTTTCGGTATATGTAGAATTTCGACTAACTGGACAAATTTACTTCTATTACTTATCTTTTAAATTATTACATATCTCTAAAATTTAATTAAATTAAAAAAAAAAGAATGTTTAAACGATAAAACCTTTTTGTTTTTATTTTACTTGTATTTTCTAATTAGCAATAGGAAATGCGGTAAACAAACTTTAGCATTATGACTTTTAAAATAGAGTTTTATTATTATTTTAGTTACTTATTGCATTAGTTACTTTGCATATTTTAAATCTCTTAAATTACACACACAAAAAAATAGAACTGCCGATAAAAATCAATAGTCGCCCTTTCGGGCGACTTGATCGCATAAAAAAAATATTTTGAGTCGCCCTTTTTAATATTCGGTCGCCTGGTGCCATCGGGCGACCACGAGTGTACATCCCTGGACTCACTGCTTTTATTTATTTGCTAAAAGTTATTCAAGACATAAATACATTTTGTTCATCATGAAATAAAAATATTTAACGACTACAATTCAGGTATCACAACAGCTTATCTCTATCAGGTACATTGATTTTTAATTCATGTTTTTGTTTGTATTTACTTATTCGTTACATTTTTTAACTTCAGATTTATCATATGGTGTATTTATTTGTAATAGAAGAACAAATCATTTTAAATTTTTATTAATTTTTTAAAAATATCTGCTGGTAATTAGTCCAGTCAACATTTAAAGTTCAATGTTGCATATACCATTTTTAAGTAGTTTCTAGGCTTTTTTAAATGCTTTTCTTATTCAAGTGGTTTTACAAGCAAGGTCTGTAAGTAAATTAGAGCTGAAAAGTTTTTCAGCTTTCAAGGAGAATTAATCTGTTTAATTTAATTTGTTTAAATAGAGTAGTTTAAATAAATGTTTGTTTGTTTTTCGTTTTTTACTTATTTATTTTCGGATTCTTAAGAACTAGGCAACTTAGAGAAGCAAGATTTGTTCTTTTTTTTAGTACAATTAGAAAGAGCTGAAGTGCTTTTTAGTCACTTCAAATCAATTGTTTGTTTGTTTTTTAAATAGAAGGATTAATAATAATAAAAATTTTTAAACAGTTAAACTGTTACTGATTTGAGTAAGTTTAATACTTTGTTTTATTTTTTATTGAATTTATTTTATATTAGATATATTTTATGTATTTAACATGGAAAGCTGACTGTAATTTGTTTGACAGGTAAGTTTATATACATAAATGTGCTTATATTTCAGTATATTTTATATTTCTCTATCTATATAAATATTATCTCAAATAAAAAATAAAAAGAAAAATTTGAATATATATGTATATATATATATATATATATATATATATATATATATATATATATATATATATATATATATATATATATATATATATATATATATGTATGTATATATATATATATATATATATATATATATATATATATATATATATATATATATATATATATATATATATATACATGCATATATTATTTTAGACTGACATTGCTTCTTTTTTTATAAAAGGTTCTGCATTTATTATTTTTGCGCATTAAGATTGTGCCTGAAGGTAAAAATAACTTTGTGCATTGTAGTCTAAATTCTTTGTTAAATTAAAAATAATGTAAAAAAATTTTGTTTTATATTTTTAATGAACAACTTCTTTATATAAACTTATAAAAATATATGAATATCAATAAATCTTAATTTAAAATATAGCCTTTGATTAGAAAAGATCACAATTTGTAAAATTATTTTACGTTCATTTATTCATTTGTAACAGTAGTATAATCACTGGTAATGTGTTTAATGATAACAGATGTATAATGTTAGGCTCGAAGATGTTTTTAGTGTAAATGGTAATAGGTGACTTGAAAAAAAATTGTTGTCAAATGAAAGAGATAGATTTAGGCCTGATAAAATTAATTGTCGTTGAAATGTAAGAAATTCTGCTCGATGAACAGAAACCTTACTTGCCAGAATTCATTGTCAAGCGGTGTTGATGTCTATTAATTTTATTTTACATTAGACACTTTAGAATAAAGCAAGGTATGAATTTTACTATTTATAGTAACAATTAATAACAGTTTCAATTTTAAATGATTTTAATTTTTTTTTTTTTTCCAAACATTTTGTTCTTTTTTTTTAGTTGCCTTTGAATCACTTGATTATTTTGCTTACTGTTGAAACATGGTTTTAATTTTGTAAATTTAATATGATGTGAAATTTACTTTATTAATCATTAGTCAATAGTTAGAGAGAAGCTGAATCTTAATTAAGCAATGCTGGAAATTAACTTTTAATTCAGGTAAAAATAATTTTGTTTATTGGTAGCATAAAATCAGTTACTATTTTTTATTGCATATCTTTTTTACTTTTTTTAACATGCTGCTTTTGAAACACTTCCTCTCTCTCTCTCTTAGATGAGACTTAAATGACAGTAAGTACAGGGAGAATTGATAAAACTCATGTAATTACTGAGCTCTTGCGCATTTTTCAATACTACAATTGATAATGACCATTTATAAGATATATTTTATGAGTTGCTATTTAAAGATATAATTTTTTAAATTGTTCAACTATAGTTGTCCCTTGGTTGTTCAAATATTGTAATAAAGGAAATCTTTTTAGTTTCAAGTATTTTACTTTAGGGATCGTCCATATATTACATAATGCGAAATTAAACTTATAGACAAAAGACATATCTCAAAAGTCGTGTTTCTCTCATAGCCAACTATATGTTGCATGTTCAAAAACTAGAGCATTTCATAGTTTGTTTTTCACAATTGTTAAACATCCTATCAAGTTGAAAAGTGAACACAAATAGTGTTATACTTTCTATTGTTCTTAATTAATTATCTTTAGATTTTTATTTCGAAAATTTACTGTTAAAGGTTGTGAGCATGTGTAACTTTATTATTATTATTATTTTTTTTTCCATAGTTTTTGATAAATATATCTGTCATTTAATATAAAATGTGTTTATATGTCTTATATAAAGTCATATTTGTTTATAGCTGTATATATGTTTATATTGAGTTGTTTCTATGTTTTCAAAGTGGTGTGACTTGGTATTATGTTGAGCAAGTTTGATATCCTTGCCAGCCAAGTGGTGTACTTATAGCAGAGGTGTGACTTGGCAGCATTTAATGCTAGGCAGTGTTACTGCTTTAGAGCTAGGTTGTGTTGTCTAGCCTTTTTAAATTATTCTGAAAACACATAATGTCTGTTAATGTTTAGCGTAATGTGTATGAGAGTGTATGTAACCTCAATCTTTAAATCTAGCGTGCTTTAATGTCCTAAATTTGAAATAATTGAATAACTAATATTGAATATAAAAACAAATATACTTTATTTAAAGTTTAATAAAAAGACAAATATAACTCTAAAATAATTTTTTAATTTTGCCTTTCATATTTTAATTTAGTTTGTTATTTTCACTGGATTTTATTGCTATGTTGTGATGTTTTGTGTTGATAGACAGCTTGGTTTACCTTCCCGTTGGCGTCTATTGTTAAAAATGAATCATAGGTAGTTTATTGGTAGGTACATTATTGGAATAGGTTGGTACATTATTGGTAGGTACATTATTGGAATAGGTAGGTACATTATTGGAATTTACTGCTTTTATTTATTTACTAAAAACGAAGACAACATTTTGCTAAAAGTGCAATTTAAATCTTAGTTTGATTTTTTTTTTTTTGTTAATCCTTTTGTACTTCAAAACAGATTTTATAGTTACATTTTTGATAAAAGTTTATATTAACTGCAATTAAAGTAACTATAAATAGGTAAATCGATTTTCAATTTTTATGAAATCGATTTACCAATTTATAGTTACTTATTTTGAAATTTGGTGTTTTTTTTTTTTTTTTTTTTTTTATGTAATTATGATGTAATTCCATTACTTTTTATTTTAGATTTACGTTATGACACATAAGATTTATAAAAAAAACCTGATTTCCTTTTGTTGTAAGTTTTTGTTAGTTAAAAAGATATAAATATATGCAATTAGTTCAATTTTTTTTTATATTTTATGCCTAATAATTTGTTGTACGTATCTTAGGGGATCTTTGTAAACGGGGGGTCGTAACTAAAACCTTTAAAAACATGTAGAATACTGTAGTTTTGCGCATTTGTCAAATATTGATTTACTTATGTTTTATTTTCGTATTTAACTAATTAGTTAGCTTTGTCTGCATTTGCAACACTTTTGAGGAAAGAATAATTGTTTGTAAATAAAAATGTAAATCATTGTTTTACATTTTTATTATTTTAGTTAAAGAAAAACTTGATTACTCTTAATAAAAAAAACCCTACTCACCAGGCCACCATTAAAGCAAGAAGAGGGGAGGAACCTCTTTACTTGTGTTAAAATATTTAGGAAAATTAAATTTTGAGTAACAAAAGGAATTTTTAGTAAATGATAGCAAATGACCGTTTACTAAAAATTAATGAAATAAACAGGCCAAACAAATAATATAGAAATGGTCTATGTTGAACAGACTTAACAAGACCCGGGTCCGGTCATAGTAGGTATTACTAGTGACTTTCCCATGGACTGAATATATAGTTTATACGAGAGATCGGTAGTGAAATATTAAAAAGACGTAGAGGACTTAAGCTGAAAAGAAAGTAAGTAGTATATATACGGCCAGCCAACTTCAAACCTTAGCTGACTTCGAACCTACATTTAATTTTACTTAATGACATTTATTTGGATTTATGGACGTTTTAAAAATTTTTTACTAATCTATGGGCTATGTAAAACAACAATGACATTAATTTTAGTTCAGCTAGTGGCATGTACGCGATCAAAATTTAAAATATTTATTGAATCGCAATCAAATTTTGTTATTTATGTGCCCCAAGAAGTCCTAACGGTCTTGTCACAGAGCACCGCGGAAATGGATTTAACCAGGAAGTTCACGCGCCCTTCCTTACTGTGACGCGAAATATATTAAAGGCTCATTTCAAACCCAGATCCCCGGCTTATAAAGCAAGCGCTCTAACCACTAATATATAAATATACCTGGTTTATTTGCACCATGAATCAGTATTATTAACCAGGTTGCCAAAATCGGAAACTTAGTTTCATTTAAGTTAAGGAATAAAAAGCGCCTACTTTGTACCTTATTAAAATTTTAAGCCTTGCAACAAAGATTTCTTTATAAGATGTTAGCAAATGATTTAAAAGTTTTGAAAATTATAAGCTACTTTCAATATTAAAAAAAAAAATGTATGGGATACGATAAAAAGTTGAATTGTGTTATTAGTAACATAATGTTACCAAATAGAAATAGTTAATGTACTAACTTTATCAAATTAAACAATGCATTGGCAAAAATAATGTCGCAATTAAATACTCAAATAATATAAACTTACTTCAAACAATTGTAGGCTAGACTAGGGTAACTCTATCCCCGGGGAAATTCCACCCTCTAAAAAGATATGGAGCAATACAAATAAACTAAAAAAACTTGAACCACTTTTAGTTCATGTTTTTGATTGCCAACTTTCTGTTTCTCACTAAGTATATGCTTCCAATATCCATACTGATTTAATAAATGAAATTTGTTTATGAAACTTTTTTTGGGAAATCCAAAATCATCTTCAATCTAAGTGCCATATATGTACTTTAAAATACATTTTAAAATATATTTTTATTGATCATCATACTTTTATATATTCATCATTTATTTTTTGGATGTGTTTAATGTGTACAGAGATGATAAAATTTTTAATTTCACAATTTGAACTTTTGTTTGTAAATATCCTTAGGCAACATGTTAATTTAGTAGTATTAATATCTTTATATGGAATTAGATATATAATTATTCATAATTTCAACCAAATAAGACAATTTTAGTCATGGGTCAAATCTCACACCTTTTCATGAAAAACTAGGGAAGCGGCAAATGGAGACGAGAGGAAAGGCCATAAAAAGACAGTGTGGTGAAAGCCTCACTTCTGACAAATCCATTGCTAGGCTCACTAAAGAAAATTAGGCTAAAACCAAGCCGAAAATTGTCTTCATTTCAGGTAAAGGGAAGGGAAAAGACATGAAAAAAACAACAATGAGTGACGCCGCAGACAAACCAATTTTATGCACAATGTGTGGGGTAAATGTGGATGACCCTAAAGTTTGCGATCTGAATGTTATGTATGACCTCCCAGCTAACACAAAACGTTCAAGTACATTCGAATTTTTTATGAAAACGTGTAGAAATTACCCCTATTTTGTTTTATAAAAAAATATTAAAATGTTTTTTTGTTAAAATTTTATATCAACAGTTTGCTTAAATATGTAAATAAAAGAAATTCTTTTACTATTCTCTTGTTTTTTATTTTATATAGTGGTTTTTAAGGATTTTTTAGAAGTAGTGGATGGATCCAGTATACCCTACCAAGCAACTTTGTTTGATATTTTTCTGTCCCTTTTGTATTACACTATATGTAACATCTAAAAAAACAAAAATAAAATTTTTTAATTTAATTTGATTCACTTACAAGTTAAAAACCTGTTTTTAATTGAATATGGTTTGGGACTTTTATTATTACTTGATGTTAGAGCAATATAAAGTAAATGCAAATTTTATACTTTAATATTTAATTTAATATTACATTACTTCCACGTGAAACTTTACTAGACATTTCATGCGTGTTACACTCAAAATTTTGGTTTTAGAAATAATTCCTTAGCCATCCTCACAAAATGACTAATAAACAAACCAACTACAGTAAACATGTTATGATTTAGTTTTCTTTATTATCAAAATATCTTAACAATCGCGGTTCACTTTGATATTATGATCACAAACAATATTCTAATATTATGATTTAAATATAAAATGTATTAAAACATTTGTATTATAGTACAAAATCATGTTTCACAAATTTTGTATTGAGTTACTATTTGATAAAAACATTTTACCACGCATGACCAATAATTAAATATTCTCATAAAACCATTGCATAAAACAAATAATTTAACAATGCTTTTTGCATCTTAAATACTTAATTATTCGCCAAAAAATAAACATTACGTCACCTAACTTTACGCTATGGAATCATGTTTCTACCTCTAAAACAAAGCACGTGTGTTGTGTTGTTATTAATGTTACTCCGTAATGTTGTTCGCCAAAATACGCAAATAAAAAAATCGTTCCGAATGGGATATGATCTAAACACAACCTGCATAAACTTATAGTAAATTTTAAAAGCAGCGAGTGCAATATATTATTTTTAAAAATTGAATGTAGCATCATTATACTATGATAATTGGATAATGAATCAATTTAACTGTATTTTGAGTTTAATTTAGTTTTCATTTTAATTAAAAAAGACGAAAACAAATCAAATATACAACAGAATATATTATTAAAAAAAATACAAATAAAAACAAAAAAAGTTACAAATAAAAAAAAAAAAATTACAATATAAAAAAAAAATTACAATAATTTATTAGGAAAAAAATGGAGAGAATATAAAAAAATTGAACTAATTGCATATATTGATATTTTTTTAACTAACAAAAATTTACAATAATAGAAAACCAGTTTGTTTTTTTTAAATCGTATAAATACGTCATTTCGTAAATCTAAAAAAAAAAAAGTAATGGAAATATGATATCATAATTACAAAAAAAAAGATTAAAAAAAAAAAAAAAACAGCCGAAAATCGATTTATCTATTTATAGTAACCTATTTTGATATTGCAGTTAATACAAACATTAATCGAAAATGTAACTATAAAATCTGTTTCGAAGTACAAAAGGATTAACAATAATAAAAAAAAAAACTAAAGATAAAAATTGCATTTTTAGCAAAATATTTTCTTGGCTTTTAGTAAATAAATAAAAGCAGTAAGTTTCAATAATGAAACTGCCTATTATTTATTTGTAACAATAGACACCAACGGGAAGGTAAACCAAGCTGTCTTTCAACACAAAACATCACAACAACATTACAAAAATAACACATAACAATTTTGCGCCCTTGATCCTAAAATGAAAATAACAAACCAAATTAAAAATATGAATAGCAAAATTAAAAGAAACCATTTAGAGTTAACTATATTTACCTTTTTACTAAACTTTAATAAAGTATATTTGTTTTTATGTTCAATGTTAGTTATTCAATTATTTCAAATTTAGGACATTAAAGCACCCTAGATTAAGGTTGCATACTTTCTCATACACATTACGCTAAACATTAATAGACATTATGTGTTTCCAGAATAATTAAAAAAGGCTAGACAACACAACCTAGTTCTAAAGCAGTAACACCCCCTGGCACTAAATGCTGCCAAGTCACACCACTTTGAAAAGATGGAAACAATATAATTTAAACATATATTCAACTATAAATAAATATAACTTTATATAACACATATAAACACATTTTATAACAATATTAAATGATAAAGATATTTATCAAAAACTATGAAAAAAAAAATTAATAAAGTTATACATACAAAATGTGCTCTCAACCTTTTGTGGAATGAAAATCTAAAGACTTAAAATCTTAATAAACTAAGAACATTCAAAAATTTAATATTATCTGTGTAACATTTTTTACCTACCATTCCTTGAATAGGATTTTTATCAACTTTAAAAAATAAACTCTGAAACACCTTTGTTCTTGAACACGAGAGACCATGAGAGAAACATGATTTTTTAAAATAAACACTATCTCTATCAAACGTTTGACTTTGACTTTTATTAATTGTCATAGAATATCCCAGAAACTGGCGATATTCTATGAAATAGAATTGTCATAGAATATCGGACCAGAAACTGGCGACGTTTTAGAACAAAAGGTAAATTAGAATCCAACGAAGCCAACTGAGTTCGAGGAACAAATACCTGTTTACCTTTAGAAACACCTGTCAAAACCTCTGCATCAATATAATTGTTTTGAAGAGCACAAACTTTCATTCGAGTGCCATTACATAGCCCAGCTTTAGGATCTAAATTTCTAAGTAGCATAATTACACAACCAATTTTCAATTTTGAACAATGAGTAGGCATTCCTGAAGGAGTTAAGCTGTTCAAAAACTTAACATGGAAATTATTTCTTTTATTAAGGTCATCACTCTATTTGATCAGCACTTTAATATTGATAACCAACCCATCATCACGACGTCTATATCGTGGATAACCAACCCATCATCACGACGTCTATATCGTGGATAACCAACCCATCATCACTACGTCTATATCATGGATAACCATTGTGAACGGCTACTGTGTTGGCATTAAATTCTTTAGGATAATTTTTGCTGTACACCCCATCTTTCATGCAGGGAGAATTAGGATTCAGTATCCTACATGGGCTGCGAACCATGGAAGATTTAGTAATATCATAAAGTTCACGATTAACAATCGGATCTGGAATTTTTGCACATATTAAAATGTTGATATCCTGTGCTGTTTCAAATTTATCATCATTGGCTAAATAAAGTAAAATGTGGGCATCCGGCAAACCACGCTTTTGAAACTCAATAATCTGAACATGCGTTACAATTTTGCCCAATACATCATGTTTGAATATATCATTGAGGAGGTTATTTAACTTGAGTTTAAATACTCTAGTAACCAAAATCAGGTCTATCATTCGCAGTCTGTACCGAATATTAATTTTCTGTTATTTCACGCCATTTTGGATTGCAAGTAAAAGTAATATAAAGATTTGGTTTACCATTATTATTATTTATTTATTTTGTCATTTGACACATTTTACAATGTTAACCTTACATTTTAATAAATTTATACAATTGCAAGCTGACTGGGGCAAGTAAAAGACAAAATATCTTATCATCAAGCTCCTTCGTAAAAATAGAAAAAATAAAATAAAACTTTACAACTTCCAATAATATATAGAAGAGTGAAATTAAAAAAAGTTTAAAAAATAAATAAAAAGTTTGAAAAAATCAAAAAGTTTTTAAAAACAATTTTTAAGTTTGACAATACTAAAAAGTTCGAAAATAATAAAAAATAAATAAGTTTTAAAAAATAATTTACAAATCCGTATATATGTGTATGTTTATAAAACAAAATTAAAACAGACAAACAAAAAGAAACAAGAAGATTATATATATAAATAAATATACAAGAAGGATATATATATATATATATATAATATATATATATATATATATATATATATATATATATATATATTAATTTTTTCAAAAAAAAAAAAAAAATTTTGGCCTAATTTTATTATTATTACTAGTTATTTCTGATTGCTGCGATTAGCGGAAACCTCGGCAACTCCGCGGACATTATATTTAAAATTTAACTTTTGTTTTTAAGTCGATTTTACTACGTATTTTTATTTTAAAAATAATGGTTTTATTTTAAATTTGATCGAAATCGCAATTCTGATGTTTAGTTTTGAAAAGATTATTACATTTTACTTATATGATTGGCTATGAATATATTGATTATCTGCTTTATAATACTTCTTCATAGTAAACGTAAGTTTTTGTAATTAACTTGTATTATACGCGAGTTCTACTATTTATGATTTTCTATGTTTTGTAACATATTATTTACATTCATAGAAATTTAGTTTGTCTGATTTTTTTTTCATTTACACTATTAATTTTTGTGGAAAATAAAAAAATGTCAGACAGTCTTTACCTTTAACCAATGAAAGTACTTCAATGCAGTATTAAAAAAATAAAATTATCAAAAATAGGCTATGCAAATAATTGTACAGTTTTTACTACCAATTTTCGATAACAGAGACTTGTTAGGTAACTGTGCGCCTAAACTAAATATCTTCATAATTTTTTAAATTCCTAATTAAATATTTTCGACTTGATTTCAAGAAAAGGTTTCAAAAAAGAAAAGGTTTCAAAAGGACAACAAAGAGTTAAAAAGAGTGTCTACAATATCATTCATTGTAATAAAGTATTTAGATTTTTTTTAAGGAATGCATACTTTGTAATTTAAAATATTTTGGAGTTTTTTTTGGAAAAAAATTTTGAAACTTGTATATTTTTTACTTTTTATGTAAATCTTTTCAAATATATTCTTCCAAATTACCACTAAATATGACTGGTGTAACCTCAGTTGTTATCTAAATTTTTTATTTAATTTGATATATTAAGCTCATTGAAATGCTATTTAAAATTAAAATAAAAATTACAATAAAAAGAGTTCAAATTCTGCGAAACTACTATTTATAAAAAGCCTTTTTCTTTTATGTGTTTCACAACTAAATTCTTGAATTCCTTTTTGTCAAGCAACTGGGTAATTCCACATCAATCACCCAGTCCATTGAACCATGTGTTTTCTTTTTGTTTTATATTTTGACACATTATTCCTAATTATAAAAAAATATTGCATGGAAAATTTTAGCCAAAAATGTTGAGCGGTTGACAAGATACTGCAATTTTAATATTGACCTGGTTTCCCAAAATAACTCGGTTTTCATAACTTTATAAAAAAACATTTTTCTTCAAAAAATAAAAAATAAAAATGGCAAAAATATGAAAATAAACATATATAATGTTTTTTTGATGCTGAATTTAATAAATGTACTTAAAATGCTGAAATATATAAGGAGCATGTTTAAAAGTTAATAAGTTAATAAAACAACTACTTTCTATAAACCAACTTTGAAGCAAAACACCTGTTCAAATTTTTTTTTTTGCTGTTAATATTTTTAGCTGCTTATAATCTTACTAGGCACAAAATATCTAACTGGACAAACAACTGAAACATATGAAACTTTAATATCAAAGATGTATTAATTTTTCAAGAAATTCCCAAAAAATATTTGTAAATAAATAAAATAAGTTAATCGTAATTTAAAAAGGTACTTAAATATACAAGATTTTTAAAGATGTAAGTTATTTTGACTGTGTTTGCAATAGTTCACAATATTGTTCCCATTTTACTTGTACTTCTATTTCAGCTTTTTTAAACACATAGTTTCTACCGGAACTAGAGCAAGCTTGTGGAACAGATAGTTTTTTCAATATGTTGGTGTTAGGAATAAAACAGTAGTTGTCTCTTTCAGGATAGTTAAAACAGATTGATGGACCTTTTGGGTGAAGAAACTTAACTTTAACATCAACTTCTTCTAGGTTGGTTTCAGTTACTGCTACACAACCTCCTAAAGTGAAAGTATCAAGTTGAAATATATCTTGTTTCATTTTAAGATTGTGAATTATTGTATAATTAGTGTCTGTACTACACCTCTTTGCCCCAACCCTGTTATCTCCAAGATGTATAAATTGATGAAAGCTACGAGTACCTGGTAGAGTTGTTACACCAGTGTACCTTTCTTTTAGCTCCTCATGTTACAATTGTAAGTCTATCCCCTTTATGTAAATGAAGTTAACAACCTTGATTTTCTCAATACAAAATTCATACATAGCTTTTAATGTGATAATTTAGTTTCTGTATGGTTGTTTTAAACTTTCTTGCGCTGTTAACCTTTTTACAGTACCTCCAATCCCATCGCATGGTGACTTTCCATGGGACGTGGCAAAAAAGTTCCAGTCAACTAAAAGTAAATTTGCTCTCTAGTTGGCATAGATTGTAAAAGCTTTTACAATTTTTGATTTGTGGGTGATGGTTTTCAATATTTTATTGTAGTATAGTATGAACTTGTATCTATATGTAAGTTGATGGAGGGAAAACAAAAGTTAAAAATAATAAAAATAGTTTTTTTTCTTATATATAAACATTGTTTTGAGTTAGCTTTCTATATTACTGTTGTGTCTGTTGCGATTTAATGGAAGCCTAAACTTTTATCAAATTAAAAAAAAGTTTTGTAACTAATGTTTCTTCTCTGCATGTTTCATAATTATAACAAGGCTAAACTTTATTAATATACTTTCTGATCTTAAATAATTCTAAAAAAACCGTAAACATGTATATTATTTAATTAGTTACATTAGATTTAATTAGTTACATTAGATTTAATTAGTTACATTAGATCTTAATAAAATAATAATTGCACTTAAAAAGGGTGAGAACAACAAGCATTTAAAAAGTAATATTTTTTAACTTTGCTATGCTTGAATAAATTTGAGAAAAAAAGAAAAAATGAACTGAAAAAATGAATGAATATTTGTTTTAATAAAACATGTCAAACTTGAAAAGCAAGTAATTACAATAAAAAAATTATAAAATAATATTTAACGAATATTAGATATTTTTTACATGTATTTCAATTTGCATGCTGACACTTTAGAATATTCAGGTCGGCAGTTGTATGCCATCCTAAAGAATTGATAGGTCAGCTTTTGCGTTGGCATTGCCGAATACCGACCTGAATTTTGCTGACTTCATGTGTAATGTCGCCTGATATAAAACAGTAAGAAATATGTTTCAGTACACCTTATAGTATATCACTAATGGATGTAAAGAACATTGTTGGGTGTTGCAATGATAGCTTTGTATTTCATCTTGGACAACAAAAGTATAATTTTCAGCAAAGTCGCCAATAATGATAATGTTTGATTGATCCATATTTTGTTTTACTTGGTTAAGGTATTGTGATTGAGAATAAGCAATAAAAGAATGAGCTTGTAGCTTTTCAAAGTAAGATACTAATAGTTCAACAAACCTTGGAACATCTGCTGTTAAACTCAATAGTGTTTCATGATCAGTAGTTTGCCATTGCTTGTAGTGTATCTCAAAATCATCTTTGTATTCTCCAAAAATCTCATACATATATTTGGTGAGAGTTTCTTTATTAGGACAATTATCACACTGTGCAAGCATGCATTCTTTGTTTTCTACTGAGCAAACGGTTTTCGAAAGTAAATCTTTATACTTTAGTCCAATATTTAAGGCATCTACTAGCAATATGGCATTTTGGTGATAAGAACAAACACAAACAGAATGTGTACCACTTGCACCTGGCAAAATGCACCACTTTGGTCTAAGAGAAGCAAATTTTGAGTAACTTTTTTGTGTTTCTGGATTGTTTTTTTTGAATAATACATATAGTTATTTTAAATTACACAAAAGCAGTTTTCTTTTTTATGGATGTTCTTTTGAATGCTAACATAATCTTTTTTTCCAGGCATAGTTCTACATAAATTACTCGAGTCATAAAACAATTTAACAGAATCTTCTATTTCTTTGTGGTAAGACTTTACCTTTATACAATGGAGAGGTAACTAACAATCCTTTTTTATTAAAAATTTGTCTGACCATCTTTGCTTATTCTGTAACTGCAAAGTTATTTTGTACTTCTAATATCGACCAACATGGGGGTGCCAGTGTTAGAAGTTGAACAATAGTCCTTTTGTCAGAACATAGAATTTTTTCTTTTATCAAGCTCATAATTTCATCAAAGTTTTCAGCCTTCTTTTTCATGTTATTTGTTTCATAACACAGTTTTGAGGGAACATTGACTTGACTTTCAGTTTTTCTAGTAACGCTATTTACCATTTTGCTGATGCACGCAATTTTTCCCTTTCCTTCTGAGAGAATATTTTTTGATGACTTTGAATGAGATTTTAGAGGAGATATATTAAAATTTTTGAGTTCTTCATTGATCTCCTGTCTTTTTGATTTGAATGATGATATTAGAAAATCCTCATCTTGTTCACCCTGACTTTGCTTCTTTTCTTTAAGATCTTCTTTTATGGCAATCTTTTGCTTACAAGGTTTGCAAAGTTTCTTCCCAGGAGCAATATTTAAACTACTTCTCATCATGACTTGTGACTCATTTATCGTAACTGAGATTTTCTAAAAGTAATTGAATTGTATAAAGCTTATCTGCACAATTGTTTAAAACATTGTATATGTTTTAGAAAATACAAATTAAAAAAGTATATATATATATAAAGTATTTAAATTCTACATCTACTTACTTGTGATTTTCTTTGTATGTTTATTGAATGGATCACAACATGCTTTCTGCCATATAGGATACAATTTCAAATATTTTGTAGTATGTCTTTCATATAATATTGTTAATAGGGATGGCAAAAATCCCGGAAATTTTCAATCCCAGGATTTCAGGATTGAGAAATTAGTCCCCGGGAAATTCCGGGATTCAATAAAAAAAAACGCAATTGTTAAAAGAGACAAGCATAATAAGAACTTTTTAAGTACTCATCAAACACTTAAAAATGATTAGTTTAATGATAATATAACTAAAATATTTAATTTATTAATGAACCTAAAATTAAGTTTAAACATCTGATGTTTTAACTTAATTTTGTTATATTAAAACTTATCTAAGATGATAACATTTAAAAATTAATGAACCAAAGTAACAGTATTTTAAATTATAAAACAATACTCTAAATAAAAATAATAATTAAAAAATGATATATAAAAATGCAGGATCATACATGAATTATATATTTTTTTGAAAGTACCATCTTAAAAAACTCAAAGCGTTAATCATTTCGTCGCTTAATCGTGTTCAATTTTTTGAACATAAAAACCCAGCGGCGGAGAATGCTTGTTCAGACTCCACACTTGTTGGCCGTATGGT